CAGGATCAGCTCTAGGATGAACCCATGCCCGATGTAGCTCCAGAGTCTACGCTTTTACTGACCATGTTGGGGAGTCTTATTTTTACAAGCTGGGATAACAACAGTCACTACCATTCATTTGGAGCTTACTCAGTGCCAGGCACTCTGCTAAATGCTATAGAGAAATTTTCTCATTTGCTTATCCCAATGCCCGGATGAGGCAAGGACTAGTATTACGTGGCAATATCAACCTGGCAGGACAGCCAGCTGTATGCAAGGATGTATTAAAGGCTGGGTCTTTAGGAGATTGCCACAGCACAAAGAGCTAAGATGTGTCCATAAATAACTGTGATTCATGGCAGAATCATAGCTTGATGGAGCTGAAAGAGAGCTTAGAGGTCATCTGGTTTAAAGTCGTTTTTACTGATGACAAGAACTGACTTGCTTTGTTTATTGCCACAGAATTTCGGGGGAAGATTCAGTGAGATAATGATAAAAATAGCCAACACTTACAGGATTTGGGTGCTGCGTGTGTATGTGTGTGTGTTTATCTCATTCAACTCTCCCATCAGACGGGGGCGGCACTATTAGCATCCCCATTTCACAGATACGGAAACTGAGATGTTGAGAGGTAACTTGCCCAGTGCCACACAGCTAGCAAGAGGTAGCAAGACGTAGGATGCTGGCAGTGCGCATTCTGGAGCCCGTGAGCTGAACCACCATGCTCCGTGCCACCCCAGTTATAGAGGTGGTTAAAAGGCCTGGGAAGAAGGAGCTGGATAAGGAGGAGGGGAAAGTGCTTTGCAGACTATAAAGTGCAGTACAGACATGAGTTATCAGAAAGAGGTAAGGGTCCCAAGGGAGGTATAAAGTGGTATAGACCTCAGGACAAAATCAAGGAAGGTCTCCAGGATGAGATGGCATTTGCTTTGGATTTGGACCTGTGTTCCTGGAGAAGGAATGAGGAGTGTCCAGAGTGTGTGTGGGATAGCCTCTATCCCTTCCCCATTACATAGGATGACTCATTAAGTTACCTAATTGGCACCTTGGCCCAGGTGAAGTGATCAGGACTACAGAAAGCCTTGGCTACCTAAAGTTGGGGTCCCAGCTGCAGAGAGCAGTTGGGCAGGTGCAACCGAGAGCGGGTAAAGGAAGGCACAGAAGGTTAGTAGCAGGGGCAGGGGGTGAGACAGTCTGAATTCAAATCTTGGTGTTCTACCACACTCTAATTATGAGGCCATAGCCAAGCTGTTCAACATCTCTCTGTCTCAGTTTCATCATCTGAAGAATGGGAATGATAATGATGGTATGTACTTCAAAGGCTTGTGTAAATTTAACACGCTAATCTATGTTAAGTGTTTACTGTGATGCCTGGCACAGATAAGAACTCAATAAGAGCTATTGTTATTTCTGTCCTAATCCCGGGATACCTGATTGGTCGCACTATCCAGGTAAGAACAGGGTCAGAACAAAGCAGACACACACGCCTACTTCAATCCACTTTACTGGCAAACCTAAATCTGGCAGGGGTGAGTTGGTTTGCAAAATAACCCAGACCACTGCCCCCTCTCCTCCGCCGTTGGTTTTGTTTTTGCCAGTCATCAGATTTGCTTTTCAGGGAAAGGCAAGGAGCGCGGGAGGCAGAGGAGGTGGAAGCCGGTGGCTATGCCAGTCATGTGCAACTGGGCTAACAGATTGGTCATCAGTGCTTTCTTGGTTGTCACACTGATTTCTGGTCACTTCCTTGTGTAGCTCCCTCGGAATTTTTGAGCTCTTGTTGATTACCCTCCCTGGCCCCTTGTATACTACGGATTTACTATCCATCCTCAGGGGCAGACACATTCCTGCAGAGAAAATGCAGACAGGGAGGAAGTCCTTTCTTGAGCAGGTTCATGGCCCAGTAGAGGGGTGACTGCTGGGGTGGGAGTTATGGGGAAGGGAAAATATGTCCTGGGGCACCCCTTCATAGGACCAGGCTCAGTGAAGGAGCTAGCCTGTCCCTATCACCTCAGTCCCGTGAGGAAAGGATTTATTAATGCCATCATACAGATGAAGAAACTTGCCCAGAGCCACAGCTAGCCTAGAGAATCTATTCAACACTGAGTCACCCTATTCCTTTATAGTATGTAGGAGGGTTATAGGACTAAAACAGGCTGTCTTTACTGGTGCTTGAAAATTGACATTTTGTATGCACTTTGAGAAACTCTATCGACTCCTTGCTGTAGGCTGGGCCAGCCTGGCTTGGAAAAAGGAATGCTCCATGGGCGATATAGCCAGTTCTGCTCACAGGCCACCATAATTCCTAGGAAGCAAAGTGCTGGAAAAGTTCAGCCCTGCCTTTTGTCCAGGTGGAAGGCTGCACTTTGTTGTCATCAGCAAATCAAGTTCCATCAGGATATAGCTACTTACCTGTTATTTTTTACTGTTGCTCATTGGCTCAGTGGCTTTCTGTCCAGGGAGCAGGGAATAGGTCAGAAGCACAAGGAACTATTTCTGGGCTCTGGCCTTTAGGAAAGCAGCCTTGTCCTGTTTACACATCCTCTCTGCAGATTTGCACAACCTGACCACAGAAATGTCATCCTCCAAGCTCAGGTAAACAGAGGCAACCAAATAGTCTCCAGTCAGCCAGTGGCTATTGAGCAATCGAGGGGGCCCAGAACCCTGTACAACTGTGATAAATATAGAAGAAAACAGCAGCCCAAGGTCAGGAAGCAGAGGTGTATTCCTGTTGGCGGTGGAGGCCACACAGTGCAAGTTCTGAGCCCCTTTCTGGCGTGACTCTTGGGCCAGTCACCCCTTCTAGCACCCATCCAGTTACACCACCAAACTGAGGGGGGGAAGGCAAGAGGAGGTTGAAGGAAGTCTCTAATTCAGCAAGGAATGTCTGGGTGAATCAGATCTCCTTTAGAAAACAAAATTGGAGGAAAGGGCCTGTGTCTGGACTTTTAAATCACCTTCTTCAAAAAGTCAAGTGCAAAAAGAATGATACAGAAATGTAACAGAGCAAAAGTCTGTGGGGCAGGGGTTTTTCTAACGAGGCAGGCACTCCTTTGTGGCTGTCAGCTTGTGCCCAGGTAATCAAAGTGTGGGGGAGGGGAAGAGGGCGAGCAGGAGGGAGACAGAGATAGAGATGGATACATATGGAGAGACACAGAAAAATAGAGAGGTGGTGGATAAGGAGCCTGGTTGCTCTACAGAGACAGAGAGAGAAGGACATCAGAAGACAGCCCCAAGTCACACATCTGAATGTGTCACTGCCATGTTCCCAGAAGCCAAAAAGCCTGGATCAGGCTGTCAAAAACTGGATTTTCTTACAACCCTGAAGCCCCAGAATGAAACCAACCAGCTTCCCCCTCTTTTCCATCAGAGACACTACCAGTAGAATGTCATTTTCAGCCCTTATTGCCAATGCTGTTTTTGTTTGATACAGTAAAGGGGAAGAAACCCCAATGTTTTTGTATGGAGTTGCGGAGGGGTAAAGTTGTACTGTAGAATGAAGGAGAGAATTTGAGGAGTGGCCCAAACCCCCACCAATACCTCTGCAACTGAGGTGAGGCTTTCACTTCCTAGACTGGAATGGCGGGGTTCAAATAAAATAATTTACGTGAACTTTTTGAGCCCAGCCCCATCCTTTGGAGCCAAATAAGTGTATCTGTTCTTTCTCTAGGGTAGATGCTGTCTTTTGGGCGATGGGGAAAGGGAGAGGAAGTAACTTTCACAGGGAGCTTGTACTTTTTGCTTCTCCTGCGGGGGCTTCATCACTTCCACTCCTACTATCCTAATCTAAGACCTCTCCTCCTAACTGGCCTCCCTGCTTCTACTCTTGCCTCCTCAAGTTTATGCTCCACACAGCAGCCAGAGTGATCTTTTTTTTTAAAAAAAAACATAAATAGCATCTTGTCACTTCCCTGTTTAAAACTTTTCAAATGCCTCCACCACAGAGTAGAATTTAAAACCTTTGCCATGGACTATCAGGCCTAATATAACGTGCATCCTCTGACTTCATCTCCCATCATTCTTCCTGTGGCCCACTCTCCTGCACTGACTTTCTGTTCCTAAGCTCACCACTGTTCCCTCCTAAGGGCTTTTGTATAGCTATCCCCTCAGCCTAGAATACCCACTGTTCTTGTCACCTGTCATGAAGGTCTTGTGTGACCCCCCAAACTAAGTTAGTCGCCCCCCATCACTCTATTTCATTTGTTTCATAGCAAATGGTAATGATACTAGCCCAACCCATCTTGTCTATCATTTATTTGTTTATTGTCTGTTTCCCCCACAACAACACAAGCCCCTGGAGAGAGGACTGGTCCATCACTGAATCCCTGGTGCTAAGCAGAGCCTGGCACACAGACTTTTAGTATTCGTTGGATAAATGATCTTTTCAAATCCTAACAACAATTTTGTGGGGTACGTGAGAGAACAGAGGTTCTGCGGGCTCAGCATTAGATTCCTGCTGCGTCTGAACACGGAACTCGCCGCCCTTCCCAGGAGACCTCGCCCCTTTGCACCGCGCGCGCAGTTCCCCTTTGAGCTCCATCTTTCTCACATACTTAACCCCCTTCTCCACAGAGGGCAAGCTTCCACTGCCTTCTCAGAGCCTGGTGCTGTGCCTCTCCCGTCGTCCCCATTTTCAGATGCTCGGAGACGCCTCCCTTTTCCTAAAATGGACCCCCCGGGTGCGTGCAATCCGTCCTTGGGCCCCCGAGCAGGGGCAGAGAGGGGTCCCACGCCATCTATGGTAAAATGGGATGGTCCCCCTAGCGCACCGGTGTTGCACCCTCCCTCTGCCTTCTACCCTTGCTAGGGACCCTCAGGGCCGTGTGGGGGCGAGGAGGAGGCTCTAGGCGTCAAGGGCACTGGGGACACCCAGGCCCGAATTGGGACTGGGCCAACTCCACGCAGCAGAACCTTTCTTCACCAAGGCCGCGCTGTCCGCCGGTCGGCTTTGGCGGAGACACCCCACTTAACCGTCCCTCCGCTCCTCCCCCACACCCCTCCCGGCCCTGTCTGCTAAAGCTCGCCTTCCTCCCCGCCCGGAGTCCTTGCGCCGCTCCTCCCGGAGCGTTCCTCAGCGCTCCGGGGGCCCACGCGTGGCTCTCCGCAGCCATTGACAGCGCCTGGCACTTCTGAGCTCCAGCGGGCGCGGGCCTGCGGGTTTCCTCCAGCCTGGGACGGCGAGGAGCGAAGAGCGGAGGCGGAGGCAGTTTCAGGCCTTCGGCCGGGTGGGCCGGGTCGGGTGAGACGCGCCCATCTTTCGCTATCCGGGGCGCGCACCGCCTTCCCGGGACCCCGTGGGCGACCCGTAGCTCGGGCACGCGCCTGTCGCATCCCGCAGGAAAGAGGGGTCCGGCCTGAGGCCCGGGGCGGCGGCCGCCATGGAGATCCCCTCGGCCCAGGGCCGGCGCCTGGGGCCTTGGGAGCGGCCCTGACCGCCCTCCTCCCTGCCCAGGCTGGATCGCGGACGTGCCCCTCGCGGCACTCGGCCACCTCTGTGTCTCCGCCCTGCCCGGGCTGCGCTGCTGCCTGGGCGCGGCGGCGGCGGCGACGGCGCCCTGTTGAATGGGCTGTGAGGGCCCAGGTTTGAAGCGCTGGCGAACGCGGCCTCCGGGGGCGCAAGGCAACAGCAGCGGTGGCGACCAAACGGGTGTTGGAGTTGGCGGCGGCCATGGAGGGCCTGGCTGGCTATGTGTACAAGGCGGCCAGCGAGGGCAAGGTGCTGACTCTGGCCGCCTTGCTTCTCAACCGGTCTGAAAGCGACATCCGCTATCTGCTTGGCTATGTCAGCCAGCAGGGAGGGCAGCGCTCCACGCCCCTCATCATCGCAGCCCGCAATGGACACGCCAAGGTGGTGCGCTTGCTGTTAGAACATTACCGGGTGCAGACTCAGCAGACTGGCACCGTCCGCTTCGACGGGTAGGTACTTCCGTACTCCAGCCTCCTCTCCGACGCGTGTGGACTCAGCAGTTCACGGGTCCTCCTTTCCCTCACCTTCTTTAATGGAGGCACTCACTTCTCCCCTTTTGTACCTCCTCCTGGCCCACTAATGCCCAGTTCATCTTCCAGGGATAATACTCCATCCCATGTCTTGCCGCCCATCCTCATCGGCCCTTACCCCTCATTCCCTCTGTAGGTAGATAGCCACACCCTCGGTCTTGAGATCTAGTAGATAAATAGCTGTCTTCTCTACTAGATGGTCTGTGAACAAGCTGTTTGGAGGAGGTGGCTGCCTTTCTAGGTTTTACCCTTAGTGGTACTGGCGTTGTGACAGAGATCAGAAATTAACGAGGTCAGTAATAAACATTGAAGACCTCTGATGAGTTATCTGGACATCCAATTTTACCCCCTTCAAGTGAGTGGTCCCATAAAGCCCTCAGCGTGTTGCTGGAGCCTTAATGTCAAAATAAGCACCTAGAACTAGCAGCAGCTGCAGCCTCCAGAGAGATTGTCACGCAGCCAGACATTTCAAGACGTGATTCTGACTCTTCAGCATTGCTCAGGGTGGATGTGTTGGCTACTAAAATGGCACTGGACCTGGTGTAGGAGATGATGGATGCTATTGTTAAATTATGTATCACCCTGTGATGTGGATAAGCTTGATTATTTACTCAAGGTGGGGAGTTCAAAAATTCATGTTGTCATAGTTAAAATTTGCCCTTTGAGGTCAATCATACATGTTTTTGGGTATGATAACGAACACAGAATTGTCAGGTTTGACATTATCCTCTTTTCTGTGCTGGAGGATTATAAAATGTTTTACAGATTAGAGCTGCATAAAGATTTTGCTTCATTGATTGAATTTTTTTGTTGACTTGTGACAGTACATAAGCTATCTTAGAATTTTTTTCTTTTGAAGTGTATGGAGTCTAAGCATAAAAATATGTATCTTTAGTTTTGGTGATTAAAAACTCCCTGGTTAAAACCTGATTGAAGAAGCATTTTTTCTTAAAGATGACTAGGGCAGTGTTGAATTTTGGTTGATTCTTTTTTAAGTTTAAATATTAAAAGCTTTTTATTCTGTTTTAGATGAGTGGAAAATATTTTAGAGCACTATATCTTAATGAAATGATAGCCTGTGGGTAATAGCTTATATCACTGGTACTACCTCTGTAGACGTTAACAAGATGGCTTTTTTTCACGTTTACCAAAGATGGCCACCTGATTCATGTTTGCTCCTTTACTGGCTTCTGTGTCCTCTCTGTAACTCATTGCATTCCCGCACCTAGAGGAGGAGTAAAGCAGAATGACCCTTGAACCTCCAGCACCATTCCAGCTGTATAGGCACCTGCAGCCATTGATAGGAATCTCTGCAATAACAGCTGCTGGAAAGAACACTGCTGCCGAGGAGCTTGCTGAGGCCTAGGTGAATAAGGGAGAATAGTGGGGAAAGAAAACAGTTTTCCAGAGCATTTAGAAAGGCTCTGCTTATTGCCATACTACTTGACCATCAAAGAGTAATTTTTTGAGATGGCGGTGGCAATGAAAAGAACTTGATTAGAAATGTAGCCTTGAGCGTGTATAGTAGCATACCTTGCTCAGTGTTCTGGACTGGCCAGTGAAATTAAGGGTTTTAGTAAGTAAACATTTATTGAACACCAACTGTGTGCCAGGTTCTGTGGTAGGGATTGGGTATGCAGAGGTGAATAACATACTGTTCTGTGGAAGGACGACAGTCTGGGGGAGAGAGAGAAATAGATATGTAAACGAGTAATTGCAGGTGCCGTGCCATTTAGGGTTATAGATCTTTTGGACTGCTGGGGGGAAACAGGGATGGGAAGTGCTGGGCCTGAGGGGAATCGGGAAAGGCTTCACAGGGGAGGTGATGTTTGAGCTGTGTTTTAAATAACAGGAAGTCAAGAAGGTGGGCAGTAGCCTGGTGCACTTGCAATGATGGGTGTTTCAGTGCTGTTGCAAGAAGGGGATTCAGCCGGGGCAGTTAAGAAAGATTGTGGGAGACTGGAGAGAGGTGGGGATTTTGATGATCTTTGTATTAACTACTAAGACTGGTGAAACTGCAGTCTCAAACATTTCTATCATTTGCACCTCCTTGAATCTATATATTTGTTTAGTTTATGGATTATTACAATATGAATTTATAGTATTTATTTTATTTATTAAATGCCTGTTATGGGCCTAACTCTGGATCACGTTCCATAGCGTATACAAAGGAAATGTAAGGTTTCTACTTTTGAGGAATTTACCAGTTAATTAATGAAAGAGAGGTATTGAAGTTCCTGGCCACCTTTCTGCCCACTCACACCACTCTGGGAAATTACTTTGCAGTTTATCCCAATCAGTTTGTCCTTTCAGAACTACCAGAAAAAGACAGTGTTATTTGCAAATGCCATGATTTCACTTTGCACTCATTTCAGACATTGTGAAAATGTTAGCGTGAGTGGTGTTAACAATATGAAGCTCACTCACCCCTTGGGGCTGGGTTTTGAACGTTACTTAGCCAGCCTCTCTCTATGTTAGCTTCCATTGGCACCTGAGACCCATGACTGTGTGGGGTCTGATAGGTTCTCTGTGTGTGCTGAAGTAGGTTAGTGTTTCTAGTTTTTAGTCACTTGCATACCATCTTCACAATTTTTGGCCAAATGGTTCACTATCTATCCTGCTGTTTACTTAATACTTTTCCTTAAAACATCTGTTGTTTACTTGATATTTGTCTTCAGAATGTTTCGCTTCTTTTTAGCTTCATCCTGTGCAAAAGTTTCTGTGTAATTGGGGGTTTAATATATTGTGTTTTGTGTGTGGGTGGATGTAAGAGAGAGACAAACAGACATTAAAATAAATAACTTAAATTTTTTTAAAAGTCTATATTTCACCTAAAAACCTGTAATACCTTGGGACACTAAAGTGTGTTCATAATAGAGTCTCCAGTGGGAAGGGACCACCCACTTAGATTAAGCCCCACATTGATATTTGAGTCCTTGTTCACATTTTTAGGAGTAACATTTGAGATTATTTTACTTACGGCTTAACATGTGAACACCAAAATTGACATAGACGAGTGGACAAGAAGAAAAGTCACATGAGTGGAATGAAAGAAGATTCTTAGTTGGAGAATGGGACGCTGTTAAGAATGTTATAAAATGGAACAGAAACAAAGGGAAGGTGTCATGTGACCATGGAATATTGTGCTGGCCTGAGTTCTTCTGAGGGGCTCAGTGCTCTGTGCCAGAGTTTGCGGCGACCACCTGTCCTTGAAGAGGTTTGCTGACGTGGATGGGGAGAAGAAGAGGACTTCTGAGGCTTTTTGTTGAGTGCTCTTACTTTTAAAGTCAGTTGTAGTCTTAATACTTCTAATAAATATCTAGGTAGAGGAAAGGCATGAGAGGCATGCCATCATTTGCCTTCATTTAGAAAGTCATTGGCAATATATGTTTCAAGGAACTGCATTTGATCTAATAAATGATTTGAAGGACTTTGGTTAAAATAAAGTGCTGATTATTTACATTTAGTGAATTTTTATTATAGTTCCATTTCAAATGCTTGAACCAGACATTTCTGTTTCAAATTGAACCAGGAGATAGATGAGCTTAGCTTTGTGATCAGAAATGTTCTCTCTCATTGAGAAAAGTTTCTATCGCCTGATGCTTATTTTTTGTTTAAAAAGGTGAATATCAGATTATAGTTTCTTGATTTTAGGATGCAATACATAATAAAGAATTTGCATTGCAAGGCCGGGCGCGGTGGCTCACGCCTGTAATCCTAGCTCTCTGGGAGGCCGAGGCGGGCGGATTGTTTGAGCTCAGGAGTTCGAAACCAGCCTGAGCAAGAGCGAGACCCCGTCTCTACTAAAAATAGAAAGAAATTAATTGAACAACTAAAAATATATAGAGAAATTAGCCAGGCATGGTGGCGCATGCCTAGTCCCAGCGGGAGGCTGAGGCAGGAGGATCGCTTGAGCCCAGGAGTTTGAGGTTGCTGTGAGCTAGGCTGACGCCATGGCACTCACTCTAGTCCGGGCAAAAGAGTGAGACTCTGTCTCAAAAAAAAAAAAAAAAAAAAGAATTTGCATTGCAATTTTGGATTGAGTCTAGAAAGATCATTGTTTTATGGTGCTTTTCCTATAGGAATTTAGTAAATGTTGCTAATGTTTAGTTAATTTTATTGTATCTTTATTTTCTGTTAAATGCATTTAGTATTTTGAGACAATATAGTCTTATAAAATTTTAGCTGGATTTTATAGATGGAGTAATGCCATAGATGTTAGGATTATAATTCCCTTTAATCTGTTTAATATTTTGATTTAGATGTAGAAATTCTAACTTCACCAAGGCTAATGTTTCTGAAGGACTAGTCTTATTATAAAATATTCTGCAATGAATTTTTTGTCATAAAATATCTTAAAAATTTTAATTGCCTAAATAAAAATAGTTAATTGGAACTTTTGTCACATTATTATATAGCTCAAGGAAAAAAATGGAAATTATTAGACTGTAGCAGCAAAAAATATTAAACTGACCAAGTAGTTTCCATTATAAAAACCAAGTGAAGTACATACTTGTAATTTAATTTTTACTGTTACAACATATAGTCTGGAAAGTTTGAGATCAGAAAAATATTTTAATCACTTTTTGTCTCTTTTTTTCGTCTTTAAAAGGAGGGTAAGACTTAGGATTATTGCTAGAGTTAAAGATAATGTATGTGACTGCCAATTTTAATGTAATATTTCTTGAGTTTTAGGTAGTCTAGATTCGTATTTGTTGCCATAGAATAAATTTATAGTTTAAAAACCAGTGCAAGAAACCATTGTAGCTGTGTAAATGTAACTATACATTAACTATGTATGTTTTTTAATAGATTATATTAATAATCAATTTGAAAAAATGCTCTTTAAATTGAAACGTTTGAACAATGACATGTACTGTTTCCTTATAGTTGATGCATTTTATGGTATTCGGAGTACTTCTGTAGTTTTAATCTCACGTAAACCTTTTAGTTATTTATCTATAAAATGGGTATAATAATAGTATGTACCTAGCGTTGATGTGAAGAGTAAATGAGATATATCACATATTAAGCAGCTAGTACTTTGCTTGGCACATTGAAAGTATTTGATGTAAGCTGTTTATAGTCATGTAAACTGTTTTTCTTTGAAGTCATTTGTGCCTCTTTTTTTGGTTTTTGTTTTAGTTATATCTATTTTTAGTTAAGGTGTAACAT